TTCGAATAATGACCTAGGTTCTTAGCTCAGATTTTTTTATTTTTATTTTTATCAAAACTGTGTATTAAAAATAATTATGACTGTTGGAATATAAATTAATTATCTAAAACCTCCTAGATGAATAAAATTTAAACCTTAATCATATTACTATATAAAACAAATCGTAAAATAAGTTTAGAGACTCAAAATTATAGAGTTCTTCATTGTGGAACTTTTTTTTAGAGACTCGAAAATTCTACCGGGTCTCTATATGGATCTTCAAAACAAAATTTGAAGACCCGATTTACTTACTCCATTAGAGATGCCGTAAGTGTTTATTGACATGTTTGCATCGGTATCCGTATGGAAGAGAAATTAGTTGTTTGTTAGGTTCCATTTGCACTCATTCAAATCGTTTTACAGAGCTCATAAAACAATTAACATTTTTTGTGTTCTGTAATTTTTAAATTTCATTTTGTATCTTAATTTAAAATCAATGCGAATAAAATCAAATGAGATGATGGTATGTTTGTCAACAATAACCTATACATAACAAATAAAAAGAAATTAAAAATAATTAGTCAATAAATGCTTAATTCTCAAGGCCGCCGACTTTTTCGGGGTTTTAACTATATTATTGTTTAACACAGTAATATTAACTATACTACAGTTTAATAAAATAATGTTAATATATTCCTCTCTAACACAATAATATTAATATAACAAAAATCAATATTATTGTGTTATAACGTCTGTTATATTACCGTCAACTACAGTAATATTATTGTGTTTACTGCAATATTACAATAGTAGACAGTAATATTATATTATGTTAATTGGTCAACAAATAAAACAAAACAAAATGCCAAAAAAAATATTTATGTGGTTCATAGTTATTGTGTTTACAGTAATTTTACCGTTAACGACAATAATATAATTACGTTGACTTGCCAACAAGTCAACAAATCAAACAAAAAAAAAACTAAAAGAATAATAATATTGTTGTGGTTGACAGTAATTGTACTGTCAACGACAGTACAATTACTATCAACGACAATATAATTACTCTTAATGACAGTACAATTACGATCAACGTTCAGCGGCGGATGTAAAAATAATGGATAAAAAAAACAAAAACAAAAAAGCAAAAAAAGTGAACATTGGAGACCGGCGGTCAACGCCCGAAAACCAGCGGTAAAAAATGTCAACGCTAGAGACCGGCAGCGGAATAAGCAGTAATATATATATATATATATATATATCAACGTTGGAAATCGACGGCAAAACAAATTAGGAAAAAATTGGATTTTATGGTTTAAAGGGTTGGGGGTAATTTTGTAATATACATTAATTTTTCCTTTGCTTATTTATAATACATGTTAAAGGGATGGACTTATTGACAAAAGAGATATAACCCGTGAACCTATAATAATAATGATGGTTGGTCAGAGACTTATGTATAAAAACCCCTTTAAAATATGGGCACTTTACAAATAAGTCTGTCAATGGATACTTATTCATAAAAATGTCCAGACAAAAAACTAATTTACAAAAAAATGCACATATTGTACAGAGGTTTGTAAAAACTAAAATAACTCCTCACATTTAAATATGCTCCAATTTCATCATTTAATTTAATTGAATATCAATTTGACCCAAAATTTCACAAATTATTCATTTTTGACTCAAAACACAATTTTGAGTACAATTTCGTCCGTCGCCACCGTTGACCGCTGGTCTCTGACGTTGACCTTTTTTTTCCTGATTTTTCAGCCGATCTCCGGCGTTGACTTTTTTATTTTTTTTTCTTCTTCCTGATTTTTCCACCGGTTTTCGACGTTGACCGGCGGTCTCTGGCGTTGACTTTTTCGTTTCATTTTTTTTTTTTGAATTTTTTTCTTTAACATCATTTTGCCCCCGTTTAAACATCAATATTGTTGTGGTTGGCAATAATATTAACTATATTGATGTTAAACACAGTAATATTAACTATACTACAGTTTAACACAGTAATATTGCTATATTATTTTCTAGCACAGTAATACTAACACAACACAAGTCATTATTATTGTGTAATAGAGTAATAGTAATATGTTGACCGTTCAACAAAGGTAAACATAATAAAAAGCCAAAAGAATTAATATTGATATTGTTGACAGTAATATTACTATAACAACAATAATATTACCGTCAACCACAGTAATGTTATTGTGTTTACAGCAATATTATAATTTATAACGTTACTTCGTCAACAACTCAAACAAAATAAAAAACCCAAAAAAATAATAATATTGATGTGGTTGATAGTAATATTATTATGTTTACCGTTATTTTACTTTCAACGGCAGTAATATAATTACGTTGACTTGTCAACTAATCAAACAGATTAAAAAAAAAAAACACACAAAAATTTAATAATATGGTCGTTAACTCTAATTGTACTGTCAAGGACAGTACAATTACATAAATATACTGTCAACGACTATACAATTACGTTAATATACTGTCAGTGACAATATAATTACGTTAATGTACTGTTAGTGACAGTATAATTACTGTTAATGACAGTACAATTACGGTCAACGTTTAGTGGCGGGGTAAAAAAAGGGATAAAAATTGTAGGAAAAAATTAAAAAAATAAATTAACTAAAGAAAATCAACGCCGAAAACCGGCGGCGGAAAAAACAGCCCAGAAAAAAAAAATCGAAAAGTTAACTCCGGAAACCGACAGCAAAAATATAATTTCAGAAAAAAAAGTTTTTAAAAAAAAAGTTTTTAAAATAAAAAGTCAAAATTGAATTTTTGTGGTCAAAATTAATTAAATTAGAATTACAATTAAAACTTGGATGTAAATGGTTTGGGCTAATTTTGTCATATACATTAATTTTTGCTTTATTTGTAGTAAACATTAAAGGGATAGGCTTATTTAAAGGAATGGATTTATTGACGAAAGAGATATAGCTCCTTAACCTAGAATAATAAAGATGGTTGATCAGGTACTTATACACAACTCCTTTAAAAGGGATAATTACAGTTTTGGTCCAACAAGTTTGTACGTTATTCACTTTTGGTCCCCCATTTACCGCCGTCAACAAAATACACACTAATGTTATCAAATTTTAACACATTTAGTCCATCCGTCTGTTTGACCGTTAAGTAGTGATGGTCAACTATTGAATTAGGGCTGAATTTGGGATTTTTCATAGATAAAAATTGCACTCAGACCCCTGCATTCTTTTAAAATATTCCAAAAACACCCTAAAAGTTTACGCAACCCTAATTTAACCCCAATTTCATCATTTAACCAATTTTGACAAACGACCCCGATTTTTACAATCATTACCGCTGACCCTTGACCGCCGTTGACTTTTTTTGTTTTTTATTTTGTACCTTTTTTCGGCATTGAGTTTTTTATTTAATATTGATTTTGACGCCGTTCACCGACATTGTATTCTCGGTTAACAATGTTGACTTTTTTTATTTTTCTTGATTTTTTACGAACTTTTTCCTTTGACTTTTTTTTCTCCGATCAACACAATTACTGTATAACACAATAATAATACTATATTAATATCTAGTATCGTAATAAAATTACAAACTTCTAAGAAAATTTTTATCTAAAATTTTAGGGCCTAAATACAATTTTAAAAAATTCTAAAATCCATAATTTATTCCCCACAATTTTTTCTTCGTGGAACCGCCAGTGCATCTCAAATTTCTTCCCAAGAAAATATGAAGAAGATGAATTAGGCATGTGCGGAGTAATTTGGAATGAGAAAACCACTTTATTACAACGGTTTTTGGGGCTAACACCGGCCGTTAATTTTTATCTTGTTTTTTTGTCTTAAAATTTTTGCGTCATTGAGATGCGTTGACTTTTTAATTTTTTCTTTATTTTGACTTTTTTATGATATTATTTTCTCGCCGATTATCAGCTTTGATTTTTTTTTAATTATATTTTTCCATTACTGAACAATTTAAATAAAAATCAAGAAAAAAAATGTCAACGCTGTTAAGCCGACATTCAACATCGGTCAACAACGAGAAAAAAAGATCAATCGACAAAAGAGTCAACCGAGTTAAAAAGAAAGTCAACGTCAGATTACCCAATTTTGAAAAATCGGGGTCATTGGTTAAAATTGGTTAATTGATAAAATAGGAGTTATATTATGGTTGGATAAAATTTTAGAGGTTTTTAGAATATTTTGAAAGAATACAGGGGTCTTATCGCAATTTTCACAAAGAAAAACCCCAAATTCAACCGTTGACCGTTACTACTTAACGGTCAAACAAACGGAGGGACTAAATATGTTAAAATGTGACAGCATTAGTGTGTATTTTGTTGACGGCGGTAAATGGGGGACCAAAAGTGAAAAACGTGCAAACTTGGGGGACCAAAATTGTAATTATCCCCCTTCAAAATATTAAATAAAAAAGGCGAAAATCTAGATAAACTAAGATCTGAAAATACCGTTAAAGCCCACATATTTAATTGCAAAACCACCAAAGAAAACATCAGCTACAAAAACCATCAGCTGAATCTCTCTCTTATATAATAAGTTAATATATATATATATATATATATATATATATATGATTGAATTCCACAAAGCAGTAGTATCATCAATTCATATATCATTGAGTTAGTATTATACAACATAGTAAACAAATAAAATGGCAGCAAAAGGGCGCAAGATTTTGGTTGCAGTCGATGAAAGCGAGGAGAGCACCTACGCACTGTCGTGGTGTCTCAAGAATCTCGTCTCCGACAACCAGCAAAATTACAAAGATACCCTCATCCTCCTCTTCGCCAAAACGCATCCACTTATCTACCCAGTCGTGGATACAACAGGTTGTTTGTTTAATACAATGGGCATTTTTGGAAGATCAAATTTTCAATGGTTGCTTTAGTAATTAATTTGTATATCTAATATCTGTAGACTGTAATATGTGTCATGATCAGGATACGCAACTTCCCCGAGTATAATTGCTATCATGGAAAAGTACGCAAACGAGTTGGCGGAAAAAGTCATGGCCGATGCCACACAAATTTGCAAAGATTTCAATGACCAGGTGTCATTATAAATTATTTTTTATTTTATTTTTTTTTTTATATGTAAATTTGTTGGCGAGTGAGGGTTAGAATGGTCTTTTGAGATATTTATCGTGTGTGCTCAGATTACGGTGGAGACGATGGTGGAGCACGGTGATCCAAGGGATGTGATTTGTGACGTGGCTGAGAGGTTCAAGGTTGACTTTCTGGTCGTCGGAAGTCATGGCTATGGTATCATTAAGAGGTGCCCCTTTCTCTCCCTTTATTTTTTTGCCACTTTCAAATTATTTGTTCTCGAAATTTTTGATATATGGATAAATTTAATATATGTCTATATATGTTTATCTACCAATTTAATTATGGAAAATATCATACATATAAAATAAAAGGCATAAGATGTGGTACAGGTACAAACAAACATACTCGGTAGGAGTCTAAAATGTTCAAACACTCTAAACATGGGTGTCCGTCGGAATGGGTTTGAATTATAATCCCTATATTTGAGTCATTAAATTAGTTTATCGGAATGTTAATTAATAGTTAGATTAACCGTTAGATTAGATGATGAAGCGCTCAATAACTACTAAATCTAATTACGGAGTTGAATTCCCAATTGATAAATGTTGAATATATTTTCACTGTCATAAAATATAAAACAGCTGCAGATATATGATTTATGATAAATTTTAACTAACAATGTCGCTGAAACTATAATAACATGTTATTCTATCAACTTTCAAAAAAAAATTCAAAAGATATTCAAAATTTTGGAAAAACTTTATTTTAATAATTCTAACATTAAAATTAAGAGTTTTTTTTACTAAATTTCAACAAGTAAATATATAAAGAAGAATAGGAAGAATTATAAAATAAAATAAAAAGTACGTAGAGATATGTAAATTTGAATTTTGATTTTTTTGAGTTTCGACTTTTTTATATATTATTTTAACATTTAAAAATAAGAATTGTAATTAAATATTTATAATAAATTTTAATTGTTAGAAATTCAGATGGTTAGATAATATCAAACAACGAGCTTTTGAGTAAAGTGAAATCCACCTAACCACCAATTTATACATGAGTCAGATAAAAATATCGGCCTATATGTGTTGGTTAATTGTTATTGGCCATGGGTCAAAAGTGTGTTGGTAGGCTGATAAGACCGACACATGCCCAACCCTAATCTATTTAAAAGTAGTTCATGTGTCCAATATTTTCTTACATAATATAACTAGTTTTCCTTTTCTTTTGGTTGTGTTTTTTTTTTCTTTTTAATATTTTTTAATATTTGTGTTTGTTTATGACAGGGCGTTTCTTGGTAGTGTGAGTAGTCACTGCGCGCAGAACGTGAAGTGTCCAGTTTTGATAGTGAAGAAGCCAAACTCAGATAATGCAGATCACTAATTTCAAATGCTTCTTCATTCATTTTTATGGTTTTATGGTTTTGCAAGTTTTGCAAGTTAAACATTTGTGGAATTGCTCTTTGTTTTTTTATTCACTTTTGCGAATTCATGAAGGGTTCTTTCGTTTTTTCATTTTTTTCATTTTTTTCTTCTCTTATGGATTTGAGACTGTTGGCAAGATGTAATTTTCATTTGACAAAGTTTTTTTTTTCTCAATTTAGAGCGTGTTTCGCTAAATTTATAAATACAAACTCTTCAAAATAGCGTATAAATTGTTCAATAGATTATAAACTCCTAAACTTTGTTTGGTAAATTTTGAAAATTTAAATTATTAAGAAGCTTATAAGTTGTTTATAGAAAATCTATACCTTACAAATCATCTCATGTAATAAATATTACCAAAAATTACCCCTCATAATGCAATTTTTTTAGCACAAACCCCTTAAAAACTAAATAATTATCACAAGTTTCTAAGTGAAAGTAAATAACTAAATAACAAAGTGTGCTTGTGTACTTAATGGAAGATTAGCCATAATAAACTAAATAACTGAACTTAGTTTATTGTTTTGTATCCCTTATAACTTCTCGTATCGATCCGAAAATATTATGTTATCATGACATATTATCTTTTAGGGGGTTTTTTTATTGGATCTTTCATAGTTCAATAATACAACAGGTATTGGTATCAACATTGGTATCAGTATTGGTAGTGGCGTATACATCATATCTCTTTTACACTATTTATAAGTTTTATTGTTGTTTAAGTAATGTGCATCACTAATTGAACGCCATTAGTGATAAACTTGCCGGTTATTTGAATATGTATTGTGTTACTTCTTTGCTACCGTGTTTGTTGTTACCTTAGTTATTTTGCAGAAGATTTACATGGTGTAGTAGATTGCAATCCAAGAAATAGAGTTATACCATATGTTTTAAATGATTTCACTTAATCTTGATATCGTGTTTTGCGCACTTCGTGTTTTCTTATTTGTAATCTTTAACTTAATTTCATACGTTACAATTCTAAATTAAGAGATAAAGTTTATGTTTTTTATTTCCTTCCATTTTGTTTTATTTGAATTGATATTGTTATAAGAGATAGTTGTTTACATAAGTTTATTTTTCTCATTTTGAAACTCACCTCTGTGCAACTCACGGGTGAAGTACTAGTATTATTTAAACAAAAAAAATAAAAAAAAATCAAAAATCAAAAACCCGGTTGAACCGATTCGACCCTATCGAACCGTGACCCAAATGGTTATCCGGTTTTATGACCGATCCGATTCTGATAACATTGTCTATACCCTACAAATCATCTCATGTAATAAATTTTACCAAAAATTACCCCTCATAATGCAATTTTTTTAGCACAAACCCCCTTAAAAACTAAATAATTATCAGAAGTTTCTAAGAGAAACTAAATTACTAAATAACAAAGTGTGCTTGTGTACTTAATGGAAGATTACCCATAATTAACTAAATAATTGGAATTAGACCCCGTTTGGTTGGCAAGATAAGATTAAATAGTCTAATGAAACCCAATTTTTTTTATCGGAGCTTGCGACGTCCAACAAAAAAACCACACTAGAAGTCAAGATAAGCCAAGATAAGCCATGATTACATAATTTTGGCGGGTCGACCCGGCAATTTATTGGGATACCAAACATCAAATTAAGTCCAACTATATTTAGTTAATCTTAGCTTATCTTGGCAACCAAACGGGGCCTTATTAATTTATTGTTTTGATTCCCTTCTAACTTCTCGTATCGACCCGAAAATATTATGTTATCATGACATATTTTACCTTTTAGAGAGTTTTTTTATTGGATCTTTCATAGTTCAATAATACAACAGGACTTTCCCTAGATTATGTAATTTTATTTTGGCAACCAAACAAGACCTTAGTTGATGATTGTCGGTTCTAGAGGTTTTGATGCGCAAAGGTAAGTTTGTCTTGCCCATTGTTTAGCTCGTATCCATTTTAATGACTCTCATGAAAATGTTAATTTCTCAAGCCAAAAATAAACCCATTTCTTCGATACGTATTACCGCGCTAAGACTATAAGCACACTTTTTTTAAAGAGAGATGTATTTAATGGTCATGTTACCACACTAATACGACTAGTTCCTAACAGATTTATATCGAGTAAACTGCAAAAAATACCCATGTGTTATCTTGAAATGGTGAAAACCCCCCTGTGTTAATGAAACTAGCAAAAACTCCCCTATAAAATTTAGTAATGGCATAAACCCCCCCTAGTGCACTCTCGTGTAACACACGCGCCGAATTTGCAGGTGGTAATGAATTTTTCAACCTAAAATGACAGAATTGCCCAACAAAAATGTATTAGTATGTATTTTAATGAATTTCTCATAAATTCTACACAAGCCCTAATTCCATTTTCCTACCACCAATTCCAACCCCAACGCCCCGTCCAGCCGCCTCCCACCACCGCAACACATTCTCCACCATGGGCTGCTCCGCCTTGTTGCTCTCCAAGCACCGCTGTGACCGCCGCCGCTTAAAGTACACACTCGAGCACAAGTGGCCAGACAACCGGAGGAGCTTCTGGAGATTGGTGGATCAAAATCAGTAAGGACCTCGGAGCAACTAATCTTCTTCTTCACGTTGATTTGGAAGCTCCTCTTCGGCGACGGCGGCGGCGGCGGCGCGAATTCGAACCCAGGCTACAACCCCGATTACAAGCTGACATTCGAGCATTAATAGCTGAAAAATAGAATAATTTAATAACTTAAAAAATCCCCAAGGGTATTACTGTATTTTCACAGCAGGTCAACACTCAAATGGGTTATGGGTTGAGTGTGCTACTTAAAAAATTTCATAGGGGGTTCTTGCTAGTTTAATTAACACAGGGGGTTTTTGCTAGTTTAAGATAACACAGGGATAGTTTTTGCAGTTTACTCGATTTATATCAGCAAGTTTGTTAAGGATATTCGGAGATACTGCACGACTATTTTCAACTGTGAAAAAGGAAGAAATATAACATTCGGATCAAAAGGACATCTTTACACTTTTTTAGTCCCGGAAGATGAATTTAATATAGAGTGACATTACATTGCAGATAAGAAACAATACAATTAAATAACTAATACTCTCCTTCAACTTATCTAAAGGAATCTAGGAGTTGAAGTGCGAAAGAAGTCAAGAAAAAAAAAAAAAAAAACATTCTTCTTCTCTACTTGCCTTGGCCGAACATTATAGCTAAATAATTTTCATTCACCATATTTATTTGATTAAATTATATTTTCTTAATTAATTAGAATATTCAATAGGTTTAATCCGAAAATACAAAAGTCAGCCATTTGTATCGACAGTATAACACTACCAAGAAGAAAATAATCAACAGGACAACAACACCAACACCAGTTAAATCTAATACCGAACTCAAACTTTCGTACCAATAGTAACACACACTTGCATGAGTAGCCGGATATTTTACCATGCCCGTATTAAATCCAATCCATATAAGACATAACGACTTGCACAAATTAGAGGGCGTTTAGCTTAGCTTCTAAGATGTTTTAGAGCTTATAAGCTCTTCTAAAGTGTTTGGTAATTTTTTTTAAAAAAATCTTTATTTTTTATTTTTTAAAATAAGCTGTTGGAGTAAGATCTTTTTAAAAAGTAACTCTACCCCACTTTTTTATTTAAGATCTTATAATGAGTAAAAATAGGAAATAAGTTCATTATCTAAACACTCTAAACCAATGTTATCAGAACCGGACCGGACACAAAACCGGATAGATATTCGGGTCACGGTTGGACCGGTTCAACCGGGTTCGACCCGGGTTTTTTATTTTCTTACATTTTCAATTATTTTATTAATTTTAAATACTTTAAAACTACTATTTATTATATATATTTTTATTTTCTTACACTCTCTTCACTTTTTTCATCCAAGTATTCACCTCACTCCATATATTTCTTTTTACATGTTTTTTTATTGCCACCTACTTTTTCCCTCTCCACTATTCTCTCTCCCGAAGCCTCCATTTTCCTTCTCCTTCTTCCCATATGTTGCACCAGTCAACACCGGTCACAATTCTCTTCAATTTTTTTTTTAATCTCCATCTTCAAACAACACCTATCTTCCTTAACCCTTCATATATTACCCATCCCATCTTGGGCCAACAGATCCGGCTACCGACGGCAAGATCCGTTCACCTACGATGAATTCCGGCTATTTTTTACCCAGATCTAGTCACTGACGGTGACCTCCGTCCTCCGCCGCCCAACCTATTCAGCTATATTCACAGAAAAACCGGGTTCTTTGACCGGTTTCCGGTTTTCCGGTTTTGGGCGGTTGAACCGGGTTTTTGAGCAATTAACCCCGGGTCTTGATTTTCCCGGGTTTGGAGCATCAACCGGACCGGTCAAGTGCCGGGTCCCGGTCGAACCGGCCGGTCCGGTCCGGTTTTAATAACCATGCTCTAAACATTAATCCTAAAAATAAGATGTAACAGCTTATATATCAGCTCTTAAAACATCTTATCAGACGTAAGAGTTTATCAACTGTTTAAAATAAGCTTAGCTAAACACCCTCTTAAGCTTAAACTATTACTCAATAAAAATGACTTATGTTATATTAGTATTATTGTGCCGGAGATTAATATATCAATATTATTGTGTTAAACTGTAGTATATTTAATTTTACTGTATTTAACAATAATATAGTTAACATTACTGTCAACCACAACAATATTGTTGTTTGAACGAAGGGCAAAAAGAAGTTAAAGAAAACAAATTAAAAAAAAAATCAAGAAAAAAAAATATCGAAAAAGTCAATGCCGGAAACCGGCATCAACGGCGGCGACGGACGAAATTGTCCATAAAATTGTATTTTGGGCCAAAATTGAATAATCTGTGATATTTGGGGTCAAATTAAGGTTAAATTAAATCAAAGAATGTAATTGAAACATATTAAAATGTGATGGGCTATTTTAGTCTTTTACAAACCTCTAGACCATGTGTGGATTTTTTTGTAGAATAGTTTTTATCTGG